CGGGGTGGGGCGCGGGGGAGGCACGAGCCGAGCGACGGCGGAAGATGCCGAGTGCAACCCGACGTACACCAAATCGCAGGTAGTCGAGTTTGAATGAAAGGGCTAACGGTGGATCTCCCAGGATGATAGTGAACCCCACATTCAAGCCAGATGATCGCGCGATGAGAGGGGTAGGGGTATGGAGGTGGGGGGTATATTGCTTGAACGTCAGACAATTCAGAGATTTGGGATGTCAGACACGTATAGTGTAACACATTATTTTAATACACGCGCGATAGAACATAGTCAAAACTCACATTTTAAGTCACACACAGAGGTTGAAGAAACGCGCGCTACGGCTGTGGCGGTACCAAACATGATGTCGACAAGGACCGGGTTAGCTGCTTTGAACTCGGCCCACTCGCTGGTCTCCTCTAAGACCTGCTCCATGTTGTCCACCACGATGGTCGTGAGCCGACGGCGCAGAGCACTGCTGATTTTCTCAGTGGCGCCCGCGGCGGTGGACTGCAGCAGCCTCGGCAGCGCCTTCAGGGCGCGGAGAGGGTCGCAGGTCCACAGCCTCCGCGCGCACTCGGCGCGCAGCTCCGGCACCATGAACTGGTCGGCGAGCTGCAGCAGCTCCAGCTCGCAGTCCCCCCAGTCCTCTATGTGGTCCGTGTAGAGGAAGTCGAGAAACTTCTCCACGGCGGCCCTGGACGAGTCCACGAGCTCGGCGCGGCCCTCGCGGGCCTCCTTGAAGTCCCCCGCCAGCATCCTCTCCAGCACGGGGCTGCGGACGGCCAGCACATTGCGGTGCGCGGGCAGCTCCACGCCCTCCACCACCAGCGTCACGTCGCAGAGGTTGCCCTGCAGGCGGGCGCGGTTGAGGTGGAGGCCTGCGCCCGGCGGCGATGCGAGGCCGAAGTCGTATACCATGAACAGGATCGTCACCTTCTCGGAGAAGTCAAACTGAATCGATGCCACGTTAAGCACGTCGCGATTACCATGCAGGAAGACGTGTGCTTCGACAGCAGGGGTACAAGGTTTACGAACAAAATCAAATGGACGCGGCCCTGGGCGCAAGTAGCCCCGACGGTTCATCTTGCAGTGGACCATAGACGGGCCTTCCGACGCGCAGGTCAACAAGCTTAGCGACAAGTTCGTGCTTCCCGCGGGCAAGACCTGAAGATAGACTAGGAATGAAACCCGCCCATCCTCTGTTCGGAGATGACTGGCCCCTAATAACCCTGGCTTCTGCTTGATGGTCTCGATGTCGGCAGTCTTCTCCGCGAGCAGCACCAGGCGTGCGCCGGGGAGTGGCGGAGCAGGTGGGGCAGCCATGGAGGAGCTTTCTGGAGTCCGACGGTGGGATCTAAATGAAACATTAAATAAATAAGCGTCAAGAGGATTTCAGTTAATCAGTCGAGAGGGGAAAACGGGGAGAGGGGGGGGGGACGAAGAGGTGAGAGGTCAAACGGTCTTAAAGCTCTCAGTGACAAACCTTAGACGTAGAAAATCAGCCATTGATTAATGTAGGCATATTTGACGTCAAAATTTCTCACTGCCGTAAAGTAAACTACACTAAGAAATTCAGACATAACATTGGCAAAAACCAGGACTCAAACTTCTAAAAAGAGGCTAGCAAAAAACAGAATGTGTGTTAATGCTTAAAATTATAGGCTGAATTTAACATAATATGTTCCACATTATCATTATAATGTTAAGTAAATCAGTAAAACCTGCTAGACGATAACAAGTTAAATTACCTAGTTTGCATAGGGAATTAAGTTATGTAAGCTCTCTAATAAATTTCTCTGTGTGCACAGAAGTCATATCGTACCTCACACTCAAATACTCAGTCGGTGCATTCTTAAACACACATTTCATTTTCATTTTATCATCCATTAAAATCTATATGCTTTTCAAAAACAATTAAATCATTGAAACAAAAAGTTGTTGTTGTTATTGTTTTTAGTTACTAACTCTTCCGTAACTACAAAAACAAAACAAAACAAAATCCAAAAATACAAGACACCATAGTACATGGAACTTATGAATTCAATATACAACATGACTTGTGGTATTTGACATGCATGGCATTACCAAAAATTATTCAAGTCATTTAAATAGTGATTACTTTTGAGAGTTTGAATCAAAAGTTCAAGATCAATAAAAATCTGAATTGATGCTCTTCACCTTTCGATCTATGGAACATCAAGTGTTAAAATCTATGATTACTACTTCTCACAAGAGAAGCAGTAGCTATTATCATGCAAAGAAAAGCGAAGTTCTTTACCAACGATTTGAAGTATTGTGATAGGGGTTGGGTTTAGTTCTCGTCATCCGCTGGGGTTGCTTGTTGCTTTTCTGCTTGTTTGTTTGAAGGGCGTCAAATGTCCAACCAGTCTTGACCGAAGCAGTTCTGTTGTTACAGGCTGCGCTGCTGGCTTCCTCCCCTCCCCTCCCACTCGGCGCAGCTAAAGTGGCGGAGCGTAGGCGCCACAGGCAGCCCAGCTCGCACGCGTGCGCGACGGCACTGCCTACCAGCCACCAGCCAGGAGCCCACAGCTCACCCCTCTGAGCCGCAGGTGGGAAAAAAAGGAGAATTCCATACACCGGAAATCCAGCACAAACACTTAGTGTAAAAGGAAAATCAAGTTCCGCAAATGAATAAAAACTGCTTTTATTTTCCAACAAACAGTCTAAATATGCAAAGAAAACAAAAAGTTAAAGGTTAATAAGGGGGGAATTAAAAAACATGCGTATTACTACACGGTAGTCTCTAGGCCTCAAATTTTAAACCCATACTCTACGGAGACCATACCGATGATGTCGATTTGTGCTTCTGGGCTCCGGAGCCGAGCATGATGTCGACTATAACTGGGTACGTCGATTTGAACACGGCCCATAGGGCGGTGTCGGACAACTCCTCCGCATTGTCCACGACTATGGCCGTGAGCCGCTGGCGCAGTGGGCCGCTGATGGCCTCGCTCAGGCCGACGGCGTGCAGCACCTCCAGGGCGCGGGCAGGCTCGCAGCTCCACAGCCTCAGCGCGCACTCGGCGCGCAGCTCCGGCACCATGTACTGGTCGGCGAGCTGCAGCAGCTCCAGCTCGCTGTCTCCCCAGTCGCCAATCTGGTCCGTGTAGAGGAACTCGAGAAACTTCTCTACAACCACCCTGGAGGCGTCCACCAGCTCGGCGCGGCCCTCGCGGGCCTCCTTGAAGTCCCCCGTGAGCATGCTGCTCAGCACGGGGCTGCGGACGGCCAGCACGGCGCGGTGCGCGGCCAGCTCCACGCCCTCCACCACCAGCTTCACGTCGCAGTGGCTGCCCTGCAGGCGGGCGCGGTTGAGGTGAAGGCCGGCGCCCGGCGGCGATCCGAGGTCGTACACCATGAACAGGATCGTCACCTTCTCGAACGACTGCTCGCACGACAGAGACAGCACATACGGCAACGTCCTTTTCGTTAGTAGAATATGACTCTCGTCCTCTAGTGATTTAGTGGTTGTTTTCTTTTTGGTCTTTTTGGTGGGCCCGCCGATCATCTTCAGGTGGGCGAGTGACACACCGGCAGACACGCACCTCTTCAGCTTGAGCGTCACGAAGTCCTCGTTGTCCTCGTCGTTGGTGATGGAGAGGACCGGCTGGAAGGAGACGCGGCCGTCCTCCGTCTTGAGCGGGGCGAGGTACAGCGTGGACTTGTTGAGGATAGCGTCCCGCCAGACCGTCTGCTCGGCGAGGAGCAGCAGCCGCATGCCGGGATGTCGCTGAGGGCGCTGAGCATCCATGGGAAGGTCCAGAATCTCTCTGGTAGATGAACCGAACGCGTGTGGGCTTTATGGTCCGCGAGAAACAGAGGTTAGGAAGGGGCCTCTTCTTGGGGCTATCCACTAAAAGAAGAGACAAAATCCAAGCGGGCATGAGGGCAGTGTTTTTGCTAAGGCTGATTACCGGCGCTGAATTCAAACTTAAGACTCACGTGAACTTCAAACTCCTTCTCGTTTGTTAGGAAATCATGCGTTTTGTTGATGGCAACTCGAAAACTCGAACAAGAACAAACAGGAGGAAGACAAGTGAAAGAATCAACGCTTTCCATAAGTGTTGTGGAACTATCCTTTCCAAAAACAAAACAAAATTAAAATAGCTGAAGTTAAGAGTACATATGATGGGACCATGATCACCACGCTTATGACTTTCGCTCTTCACACGTCAGGTACTGTGCATGGGTAACAAGCACTCCTGGATCTCGAATTCAAAGGTTCAAACAGAGACCGGCAGAGATCGAAAACCTCCGAACGCGAGGCATTGCAACTCAACAGTCATTGTTCACACCACCCCTTCTCTGCCGGCAGGTCCGGCAGGCGGGTAGGCGCAGAGGGGGCGCAGGACAGGCAGGGCCAGGTCGCAGTGCGGCCGCACGGGAAAATTTCCCAGGCATTTAAAATCTTAAAAGGTTCTATTGTTTTCAATTTTTTTACTGGAAATATTTAAAATTGTTCCTTTTTTTACTGGAAAACTTTCCAATTCTACCGGAAAATTATCCGGATTCAAAATCTCTATAGCTAACTTACGTTGGAGCGTGCGCCGTGGGCCCGCCCCGCTGCTCTGCTGAGCAGAGCTGAGCGGGCCAGCGCCTGGCGGTGGCGGGGTAGGCCGCACGCTGCGGCAGCTGAGCGCGGCGGGCCTGCCCACGGCACAGGGGCCCCGGCACACACATTGGCGTGAGATGTACTACATGCGCCCCTCTGGCCCCTCTAAAAGTAAATCAAGATGAAATGCGCAAGTGTTTTGTGGTATTGGCGGAATACCATAAAGGTTGGCATTTGTTATTTATTCTGAGGATTCCACCAACGCCGGCCAAGTGGATGAACGACGAGAGGGAAAAGAAGGGGAGAGAGGGAAGGCCATAAAAGATCGGGGGAGTCTTCACATGTCAAACGGCGAGAGAAGTGTGAACAGTTATTCGCTCACCTGCATGAAGGTATAAAATTTAAGAAAAATCCCCCAGCGACGACAAACCGTATCGCCAACTTAAACAAACAACGACGATCGTGGGGCACAGTTCTTTAGGCCGCCGGGACGAGAGCAGGAGTACACTCTAGGGGAGGTAATGGACGAGTAAAAACAATGAAATATTGGGAGAGCGACAAGTTTGATGAGCAATTAAGTAATTAAGATTTGCTCAAAAACACTTTTTTAATAACTGTCTGATACAACCGCAAAAAGAAATCACATTTTAAAACAACATCATGCAGGACGAACGTATGGAATCGTTAGCGCCCACTGGGTTGGCAACAAGATTGTTTCAAGTCACTACCACCGTGGTCACTAAACACATCTATTGGCGCGTGTAAAAAGAAAAGGCTAAGGCAGGTGTGACAAATATGCAACCCAGCTACCTTGAAAGCCTTTGATTAAACACGCAAAGTGTACACTGAATACCTAATAAACAAATCAAAGGTCTAAAAAATAGAAGTAGTACTGACTGATAAATACTGATAAAAACTGACTGATACTTAACAATAAATCAGGTCCTCAATCAGTGATATTATACAAGGTAGGTAGATGGCTAGCGCCATCTTCATTAATTTTTCCTTTTGAGTGTGCTGCACCGCATGCAAGATACAGGCTGTGGGTGGGTTTGCCTATCATTCCGCCTTATGGCCCCTCGCGAAGGCAAACCCGCCCGCAAGTCTGCATGCGATAAAGCATACCCAAATGAAAGAAACGACACAGGTTGCATGGTTTAGGACAGCACAGAAAAAGAACTCAACTTACAGGACAACACTCACACAGAGAACATACAGCAAGGTAAGTCCACAAAGTTTACGCATGGGGAATGACCAGGAGGTCTCGTCGAGTCCATCATCACTGCGGTGTCCACACGCAGGAGGTCGTACTGGGTGCTCGAGTGGCGGCAGCCGAACCGAGGATGATGTCAGCGAGAAACGGATGGGTGGCTCTGAACTCGATCCACGTCCACGAGTTATCCAGGTCTTTCAAATTGTCAACCACGGTTGTCGTTAGACGCTGCCGCAGTGCACCGTCGATAACCTGGCAGTGGGCGTCCGCCTCGGCCCACAGCACTCTCAGGGCCTGGAGGGCCCCGGACTTCCATAACCTCTGGGAGCACTCGGTCACCAGGTCGGGCACCTCATATTTGTCAGCGAGCTGCAATATTTCCAGCTCATCATCGTCCCAGTCATTAACTTCGTTCGTGTAAACGTACTCAAGGAACTTTTTCACCGCTCCGATGGAAAAGTCGACGAGGTCGACTCGGCCCTCGCGGGCCTCCTTGAAGTTGTCGCCCGAGAGCATCGCGTCCAGCACGGGGCTGCGCGCGGCCAGCACCGCGCGGTGGGCGTCCAGCCCCACGCCCTCCACCACCAGCTTCACGTCGCAGTGGCTGCCCTGCAGGCGGGCGCGGTTCAGGTGGAGGCCGGCACCCGCCGCTGGCGGCGTCCAGAGGGCGTACACCGTGAATGTGAGGGTCACCTTGGCGAAGGCTCTGCGCAGGGGGAGTCGTGACACCACATCGGGGAAGTACTTGCTCGCCAGGACGAGGACGTGAGCCTCTGTCGCTAGAGGTGGCGTGGGCTGGTCAGGCTGCGTGGGCTGAGCAGGCTCTGGGAGTTGGCTGGACCCATAGTTGCCGCAGGTCATCTTGACGTGGACTATGAGCGGGCACGTAGCCACGTAGACTTTCAACAAAAGCCCCACTGCTGGAGTATTGCTGTTGCTGCTGGTGGTAGTTAGGTGGAGGAGTCCCCGGAACGCAAGTCGCTCGTCCGCCGTTTGGAGCAGATCGAGATGGAGCGCCCTCTCCCTCTCGAAGACCGTCCGGGGGACAGTCTGCTCGGACATGAGGAGCAAGTGCATGCCGGACTGTTGCTGAGCGTGAGCCGCCATGAGGAAGTCCTGCTGGATGCGAGGGGTATGCGGATGCAGATACTGTATCGAACACGCCCAAGACGAATTGTGGGATTTAGAATGGGAGTCCAAGGAGAGAGGGTTGATTACTGCGAATAGAGTATGATTCACTAAGCATGTAGGGAATCAGAAGAATCCCAGTTCATAGCAACTCAAGCGGCTCATAAGTTTTCATGTAAGACCTTTTAGTCTTTACCAGAAGACTAAAATTCCTCCATATCTTAAGCATTTTATGACAATCAGTTTAACACACTATATGGACCAACTTGAAATGAACACTTAAAATGTCAAGTTATTGTGTAATTTGAAGTGATGTAATTTAAAATATGTTAATATGGAAGCTCAAACTAATATTCAAAGTATACAAAAGGCACTTGTTGCTAAAAATTGTGTGACTTCGGGGCCTGTTTAGATTTACACGATATATGAACATTCCAATGTTTTGTTACGTTTTAATTGTCTGATTGTCAACAAACACATTCACTTTCATGAGAAAAGAAAAAAGTCTGCAGTGTTGCAACAAGCTAAGAATAATAATGTTTCACAAATTTTGATACGTTTAAATTGTGCTGATGACATGTTACAAAAGGTCAACCATAATTGTGTTACGCACTGAAACTCGCAAAAAAACTCATGGATGAGACTATATTAGTGTATTGGGTGTACCTCTAACCTACACTCTGGTCCTCAATGCATGTGTTAAGTTTCGTTTTAAAGGTTAAGAAGCAGTAATAAATCATAAACAAAATTACTGGTCAAGCCAAAAAGCTAGATTTAAAGTGGGGAAGACTATACATGGGTACAATGGCCTTCATTTTCGCTTGCCTCAACTATAGTTTTCGTTTTCACCCTTGCCACTCTAAATCCACCGATCTAGCTTACTCGCGAAATGAGACATTAAGGTTAGTGCTGTCGTAAACTCACCTGCTGTGTTCTGTACTCAGTGATTAAGACGAAGACGTCGAATGTCCTCCACTACTGCAACTGCACTGTCAAACTGCCAAATTAACTTAAGTTTGTCACGTCTCGTCATGCAGTCAAGCCATATTATTCTCAGGTCATCCTGCGACAGCAACAGGCGACGAAACGGAAGAAGAGACGCAATGGAATCTTTGTTACCCCCTCCACTTTCGGTTCACCGCGACGATCCGCAAAGTTCCTTCTCCTACGTGGGTTTGCCTTTTTCCAATTTGATGAAAGGGGAATCGTTCTATTCTTGGAGATGAGACTACTTTTCAATATTATTATTTATTACAAAAACACATGTCCGACAAAAGC